ATTTCAATTTTCTTAAATTTACCAAGGCTTGATTTGTGACCCAAGATATGATCTATCCCGGAGAATGTTCCATGAGCACTTGAGAAAAATGTGTATTCTGTTGTTTTTGGATGGAATGTTCTATAAATATCAATTAAGTCCATCTTGTTTAATGTATCATTTAAAGCTTGTGTTTCCTTATTTATTTTCATTTTGGATGATCTGTCCATTGGTGAAAGTGGGGTGTTAAAGTCCCCTACTATGAATGTGTGACTGTTGATTTCCTCTTTTATGGCTGTTAGTATTTGCCTTATGTATTGAGGTGCTCCTATGTTGGGTGCATAAATATTTACAATTGTTATATCTTCTTCTTAGATCGATCCCTTGATCCTTATGTAGTGTCCTTCTTTGTCTCTTCTAATAGTCTTTATTTTAAAGTCTATTTTGTCTGATATGAGAATTGCTACTCCAGCTTTATTTTGGTTTCCATTTGCATGAAATACCTTTTTCCATCCCCTTACTTTTAGTCTGTATGTGTCTCTAGGTCTGAAGTGGGTCTCTTGTACACAGCAAATATATGCGTCTTGTTTTTGTATCCATTCAGCCAATCTGTGTCTTTTGGTGGGAGCATTTAGTCCATTTATATTTAAGGTAATTATCGATATGTATGTTCCTATTCCCATTTTCTTAATTGTTTTGGGTTCGTTATTGTAGGTGTTTTCCTTCTTTTTTGTTTCTTGCCTAGAGAAGTTCCTTTAGCATTTGTTGTAAAGCTGGTTTGGTGGTGCTGAACTCTCTCAGCTTTTGCTTGTCTGTAAAGGTTTTAATTTCTCCATCAAATCTGAATGAGATCCTTGCTGGGTAGAGTAATCTTGGTTGCAGGTTTTTCTCCTTCAACACTTTCAATATGTCCTGCCACTCCCTTCTGGCTTGCAGAGTTTCTGCTGAAAGATCAGCTGTTAACCTTATGGGGATTCCCTTGTGTGTTATTTGTTGTTTTTCCCTTGCTGCTTTTAATATGCTTTCTTTGTATTTAATTTTTGACAGTTTGATTAATATGTGTCTTGGCGTATTTCTCCTTGGATTTATCCTGTACGGGACTCTCTGTGCTTCCTGGACTTGATTAACTATTTCCTTTCCCATATTAGGGAAGTTTTCAACTATAATCTCTTCAAATATTTTCTCAGTCCGTTTCTTTTTCTCTTCTTCTTCTGGAACCCCTATAATTCGAATGTTGGTGCATTTAATGTTGTCCCAGAGGTCTCCGAGACTGTCCTCAGTTCTTTTCATTCTTTTTTCTTTATTCTGCTCTGCAGTAGTTATTTTCCACTATTTTATCTTCCACGTCGCTTATCTGTTCTTCTGCCTCAGTTATTCTGCTATTGATCCCATCTAGAGTATTTTTCATTTCATTTATTGTGTTGTTCATCATTGTTTGTTTCATCTTTAGTTCTTCTATGTCCTTGTTAACTGTTTCTTGCATTTTGTCTATTCTATTTCCAAGATTTTGGATCATCTTTACTATCATTATTCTGAATTCTTTTTCAGGTAGACTGCCTATTTCCTCTTTATTTGTTAGGTCTGGTGGGTTTTTATCTTGCTCCTTCATCCGCTGTGTGTTTTTCTGTCTTTTCATTTTGCTTATCTTACTGTGTTTGGGGTCTCCTTTTTGCAGGCTGAAGGTTCGTAGTTCTTGTTGTTTTTGGTGTCTCTCCCCAGTGGCTAAGGTTGGTTCAGTGGGTTGTGTAGGCTTCCTGGTGGAGAGGACTAGTGCCTGTGTTCTGGTGGATGAGGCTGGATCTTGTCTTTCTGGTGGGCAGGTCCACGTCTGTTGGTGTGTTTTGGGGTGTCTGTAGACTTATTATGATTTTGGGCAGCCTCTCTGCTAATGGGTGGGGTTGTGTTCCTGTCTTGCTAGTTGTTTGGCATAGGATGTCCAGCACTGTAGCTTGCTGGTCATTGAGTGAAGCTGGGTGCTGGTGTTGAGATGGAGATCTCTGGGAGATTTTCTCCGTTTGATATTATGTGGAGCTGGGAGGCCTCTTGTGGACCAGTGTCCTGAAGTTGGCTCTCCCACCCCAGAGGCACAGCACTAACTCCTGGCTGCAGCACCAAGAGCCTTTCATCCACACGGCTCCTTAATTTGGGATGATTCATTGTCTATTCATATATTCCACAGATGCAGGGTACATCAAGTTGATTGTGCAGCTTTAATCTGCTGCTTGTGAGGCTGCTGGGAGAGATTTCCTTTTCTCTTCTTTGTTCTCACAGCTCCCAGGGGCTCAGCTTTGGATTTGGCCCCTCCTGTGCGTGTAGGTCGCTGTAGGGCGTCTGTTCTTTGCTCAGACAGGACGGGGTTAAAGGAGCCGCTGATTCGGAGGCTCTGGCTCACTCAGGCCGGGGGGTAGGGAGGGTCACGGAGTGCGGGGCGGGCCTGCAGCGGCAGAGGCCGCATGACGTTGCAGCAGCCTGAGGTGCGCTGTGCGTTCTCCCGGGGGAGTTGTCCCTGGATCCCGGGACCCTGGCAGTAGCGGGCTGCACAGGCTCCCCGGAAGGGGGGTGTGGATAGTGACCTGTGTTCGCACACAGGCTTCTTGGTGGTGGCAGCAGCGGCCTTAGCGTCTCATGTCTGTCTCTGTGGTCCGCACTTTTAGCCGCGGCTCGCGCCCGTCTCTGGAGCTCCTTTAAGCAGCGTCTTTAATCCCCTCTCCTCGCGCACCAGGAAATAAATTGGGAAGAAAAAGTCTCTTGCCTCTTCGGCAGGTCCAGACTTTTCCCCGGACTCTCTCCCGGCTAGATGCGGTGCACTAACGCCCTGCAGGCTGTGTTCACGCCGCCAACCCCAGTCCTCTCCCGGTGCTCCGACTGAAGCCAGAGCCTCAGCTCCCAGCCCCGCGCGCCCCGGCGGGTGAGCAGACAAGCCTCTCGGCTGGTGAGTGCCGGTCGGCCCTGATCCTCTGCGCCGGAATGTCTGCGCTTTGCCCTCCGCACCCCTGTTGCTGTGCTCTCCTCCGCGGCTTCGAAGCTCCCCCACTCCGCCACCCGCAGTCTCCGCCCGCGAAGGGGCTTCCTAGTGTGTGGACACTTTTCCTCCTTCACAGCTCCCTCCCGCTGGTGCAGGACCCATCCCTATCCTTTTGTCTCTGTTTATTTTTTTCTTTTGCCCTAACCAGGTCCGTGGGGGGGTTTCTTGCCTTTTGGGAGGTCTGAGGTCTTCTGCCAGCGTTCAGTAGGTGCTCTGTAGGAGTTGTTCCACGTGTAGATGTATTTCTGGTGTATCTGTGGGGAGGAAGGTGATCTCCGCGTCTTACTCTTCCTCCATCTTCGAGGCTTCAGTTTTTTCACCTGGAAATGAGGCATTTGTATTAGATGATCACTAAAGGCCTTTCATTGTCTAATTTATATGAAGCTTAGAAAGGGAACTCTTCTATTAATTTCTTAATAATAGAGCTTTAAATTGTATTGGAAGGAAATATAAAGTGGTTCTAAACATTTTTTTTTATATTTGGAACTGAGTAAAACAAGTATGTGAGAACATTGGTATGTGGCAGTGGTATATTTTCTGATATCTTTTGTTCAAAGGAACAGTTTGAAAGAATGCCAAAAGTTTATTTTTTTCCCCTTCACTCCTGGACTTCCTATACAATCTTCAACTGCCAGAAATATAGGAAGAACAAAGTCTTTAGCAACTGATTTCAAACTGGTCATGTAAAACCCTAGAGCTCTATAAAGCCCTTCAGGGGGTTGCAAATATTTGATCTGAATTTCACTTTTTAAAATGTATATTGTAAATTTTATATATAAAATATGTATATATTCAAAAATATTATGTTTACTTATTCAACAAATATTCATGGAGTGCATATTATATGTTGAAAATAGTTTGTCTTAGGATTCAGGAATGAACAGAAACAGACAAAAATCCTTTCCCTCCATGAAATTTACATTCTAGTAGTGGTAGCAAAAAAGAATAGTCAAAATAAGTAAATTATATAGCATATTAAAATTTTATAAGGGCAATGGAAGAAAATTAAGCAGTGGCTGCAAAATGACTCAAGAGGTTTGAGTAGATCGGTCTGAGAAGGTGGCAGTTCAGTAAAGACTTGAAGGAAGTGGGGAGGGAGCCAGAGGGACAGCCGAAGCGAAGGTCCTGAGGCAGGAGCATGCCTGGGGAGTGGGAGGAGCAGCCAGGCTACCAGCACCTCTGGAAAAAGGGGACAGAGAAAGAAGAGGCCAAGAGAAGGAATAGAGGCCTGTGGGTCATCACACCTTTTAACACAATGCCTTTCAATACTGCTTATACAGTACTTTTATGTGGAGCTTTCCAGTATTCTCTTCATAAACATTTGAATATGGCACTAACACCGAACAAGATTTTATTTTATTTACTTGTCTTGTTCAAAATCAGGCCTACACTTGTTCCTTCAAGCAAACACTACATTCTTATGACAACGAATGTGGGCTAAGTTAAATTACATGCCAAACAAGGCTTAGGTATATCTGCTTATGTCACTTTTCCAACAAGAAGTAAATCCATAACTTACTGATACCACTATATTATAATTAGCTCTAACCATCATTTTTAGATTACATTACTTCTAACCTGACTTACCTTTATTGATAAGGAATGCAAACTACTTTTGAAATATTGTTATCCCATTGCAACTCAAAATAAACAATGTCATTTATATCTCTTTAAAGCTTCCAGAGAAATTTATTAAAAGCATCTTGAGATTTCACAATAAGGTGCTACCTTTCACAAATACTTATCTAAGTCAGCATTTTTTTTTTCTTACTGAAACAGCCAAACAAAATTCACCTATAAGTTGGGTGTTGAGACTGACATGACTGCAAATACCAACTAGACACCCCGATATTAAGATATTGTCTTCATTAAAATAGGCTCATGAATCTCACAAATTGAATTAATAATAAGAAAATGCTATAAATTTAAAATTATAAAATAAATTTAAATTAATAAAATTTCCTCTTTATCTGGTGAATCTATGTAATTTTTGCAGAGTTGGTGCCTAGTAAGAAATGGATGGAAGGTGATTTTGCAGAAATCATGAGTGCAAGCAGGTAAGGGAATATATTCTCTCCTCTTAACCCTTCATTTATTCATCCCCTCGTGTAAATAGAAGAATGAATTTTTCATTAAAAATACATATAGACACATGCACACCCACTCATATGTATATGCACACATATACGCATACACGTATGTGTTATATAAACACATATATATATTCATCCTTACATAGGTAGGTGATCAACAGAGACCACACAATGTTATAAGATATTAACAATTTGTGAATTTAGATGAAGCGTACGTGGGTGTTCATTGCACTATTTTTTCAACATTTCCGCGGGCTTGGAATTTTTCAAAACAAAAGATTGGGGGAAACAAAAGAGAGAGACTGGTGTCACTGAACAAAACAGTCTGAATAATTCTGACCTCAGAATGACTTCTCACATCAGTGGGATGTTTGCCCACATGATTCACCAAATGAGGCTGATGAGTAGCATTAGTGAGTCAAGAAAGCCTAAATCAGACCGTGGAATGGCTGTAGACCAATTAGTTAGCCTCATCAAACCTCAGTCGAGTGAATTTTATTGCCTTAATTCACTAAAAAAAAAAAAAAAAAAGCCTAAACAAAAATGTTAACCTCTCTACCCAAACACAAGAAAGAGTTTTAGAGCACATGGAATTTAGCACCAAAGGAATTATGAACTGATATTTGCTCGGATTTGTTATGTTTATTTACTCACTCTAAGAAAAATATTTGCCTTTTGTAACAAGATTCTCTGAATTCACAGGAGAGCTTAGCTGATCCTGCAAATTTGGTTGTGAAAAGTACAGGGGTGAAACAAATATACATTTCAGAATCCTAAATCACAGACTGCAGGAAATATAGGCCCTTGGCTTTCTACCCACAAGGTCGAAGGAAAAGATTTCAAATATTGTACAAGTCTCAACTGCCCAGAATTCAGCATTTATGTTTACAATAAATGCATTTATGTTTACAATAGGACTCTGGCTTGCAATTCTAGCCTGCCCTGCGGTGCCAGGTCTATCTCTAAGTGTCCCTGGCTCACAGGCAGTGTTTTAGCTGGCCTGTTAGTATTCAAAGGGTCATGAACTGGAGCCATACCAGAAACCAAATGAAATAGGCATTCACCTCAACTGGCATTTGTAAGGCTGAGATAAACAGTGGAACTACTGAACAATAGAAAAGGACCTTTCTTCCTCTCACCAGTGAAACAAATCTTAAAATATGAAGATCAAGGACTGCTAGAGATAACAGACACCAAAGAACTGAAACGTCTTAACAGCAGGTGGTATCAGTGGGGCTTGTCTTTTGAAAATGTGTTAGATCCTTTTAGGACTATGTAAAACACTTCTGGTTCCTATGGTGATGCTGATAATACTTTGTCAGTCATTGTGATATCTAGATCTACATTAAGTAGTTTAAAAAGCACCTTGAAATGCTTGAAGGTTAAATTAGTTTCTCCTCTAAATTGCTTGGTGTCAATTGTAGTTGTGATAATTGGAGGAGATATACTTAGTTTGTGAGGAATACTGACCAGTGTTTCTTGCCTCTTACAAAGTTTAGAGAAAGAGAAGCAGCCACAAACTGAGTCCCTTTACAACAGCCCCAGACACTAATCAAAGAACATGTCTTCAGAGTGGAAGAGACTAAGTAATTCATTAGTTTTCAGGCAGACCCAGACCTGCTCTTAAAGAACGCCATTCCCTACAGTATTTCCCAATCTCATGTCTGGTCCTTCCTTTGTTAATTTGTTTCTTAGGAGGGGCATTTTCAAATAAAATTTTGTGGAAACATTTCCACAAGGCCAAGGCGGGCATAAGCCACAAATCCTGCCACTGACCCATATCAAAAGCTGTTTTTTTGTAGTGTTCAATGAACCATCAACCACAAATTTTGTGACTGGGAGGATGGAAAAGATGGGCTTTCTATTCTTTCTCTTTCCCTGGCTTTTGCACGTTTTAATTCTACTACCAGTTGATTTTTGCCAAGTTGTGAAATAAAAAATTGAATTTCCCGGTATACAGAACCTCAGAAATTTTGTTAGACCCATTCCAACAAAAGTTTAGACTGGTCACTACACAGACTTTTATGCAGCACGTTCTGAAGCTTTGCAGGTTTATCTTTGCAGTAGGGCTGACACACTTGTCCTGACTGGAGGAATCTTTCCTCCCTAGTTCTAATCCCATTGCTCTTTAATGTAACATCACCATCCCAACAGCTTTGGTTGTAGAGGAGGCCTTCTCCACATGCTTCAGCATTGACAAACTTGCTGTGTGACTTCAGCTCCAGTCTTGAGTTATTTTCAGTGAGTTTGCATATATCCTGTTATCAGAACAGGTAATTATTCTTCCAAATAAAGAATATGTTATGAAGTATCTAACATGCTATACGACCTATGCTAAAAAATTATTTTAGTACACTATAAAAAAAGAATTTCATAAAAATGAAATATTGCTACCACCAATACAATTCCAAAAGAAGAGGAAAAACTAGTTTTTGTTTGCACTGTTAAATCAGAATAACAAATCTTTTGAGTACAGCATTTGCGGTTTTAGTTTACGGAAGATCGTAAGTGCGTTTGCTCATTTTCACTACATGAAGTCGACACTTCATGTTTTGCCTATTTTGAGGTCATGATACTAATAATAATAGCTAATATTACCTGAGCACCTAAGGTCTGCCAAGCCTCTGTTGACTCTTGATCTTTGTATCAACCTCATTAAGTTGAATCTATTACTATCCCAATTTTGCAAATGAAGAAAGTGAAGTCTGGTGAGGGAACAAAACAAGGGTAATAGGAAAGTTGTTCTGAGGGACTGTAGTTCCTGGGATCTTAATTATCACACTGATTGTGTGCTACAGCCACTCTTGTCAGTAAAGTTCGCATTTTCTCACAGTTCATACAAGTTTCCAGTTGTATTAGTCTGCTTGGGGTGCCATGGCAAAATACCATAGACTGAGTGCCTTAAACAACAGACATTTATTTCTCACCATTCTGGAGGCTGGGAAGTCCAAGATCAAAGTGCCAGCAAGGTAGGTTTCATCTGAGGCCTTGTTTCTTGGCCTGTAAGCCGCTGCCATCTCACTGTAGGCCCACATAAACCTCTTTGTAAGTCTGCAGAAAAAGAGACAGGGAGAGAGAGCTCTCTGGTGTCTCTTATAAAGACTCTGATGCTGTCTAATCCTATCCTATCAGCTCAGGGCCCCACCCTTATGACCTCAGTTAATCTTAAATTACTTCCTTGGAGGTCTCATCTCCAAATACAGTTAGGGTTCCAACATATAAATTGGGTGGCGGTGGGGAGAGGCGGACACAAACAGTCCATAGTCACACGTAACTTAGTGTATTTCCAAAAGAAAATTATTCCAAGTTCATTGAGATGTTAACCAATAGGTATTTCTCAATTCCAAAATTTTCTCTTTAACAAAACTTTGAAATATCACATGTACTACAGGCCTCATGGACAGAGATTAAAGAAGTGATACTCTTCATTGCTCATATCAGTTTAGGTAATTAGATGAACAATGGTTGACCTTTGAAGGGAGCTGTATCAGAGAACTAAAGCAAAAATTCAAGCAAAACATCTGAGTCATTGGGAGGTCAGCTCTGATGAGACTCCAGATAAATTCATCAGCCTGTAGTGTTAAGTCCATACCATCACCCTGACTGGGGTATGCTCTGCTTTCACTTATTATGAAATCCATTAATCTAATCACATGTTATAATCTAGGAACAAGTATATTTATACACTTAAAGAAGAGATTAGCGCACAAATTAAAAATAACAGAGATAAAAAATAATCGGTTGTAGCATTTCCCAGAAATGTAGTTTACATTTCTTTTTTACTTAAGCCATAATCATTGAATGATTTACATGGAAAGACAAGAGAGTAGGAGCAAGCATGTATATTATATACAGTTATTGAATCAACCAATAGAAAGGAAGATATCTAGAAATGAAGCTCTTAGACCTCTATAAAAACATGTCCTCTGTTAGAATTTCAATTGTCTGACATGGTTTCAAATCCTACTCAACTCATTATGATGTTTGCTGTCTATATTTTTCAACAGCACATTGAAGCATACCACAGTATTTGAAACCATAGCCTATAAATATTGCTGTTACACAGCCTTCTGCTCTCACAATGGTGAATCAAGAAATATGTTATGAATTTTCTCAAATTTATTTTTTCCACTATATACAGTGTTAGGCTGGCCAGGCAGAGATACCTCTAAGCATCTATGCAACTAATTTAGGACCTTAGAGGCAGCCAGAATCTCTATTAGCAGGTACCAAGTATTGCACGATGAGAAACATTTTGCCCAGATGAATATCATAGCAGCTTCCTGCTCTTGTAGAATCTCACTGTGAGGAATGGCAAGTTGACTGAAAGTACAGGTCATTAAATAGATAGATGGAGATATAGATTGATACATAGATACATAGATAGATAGATAGATAGATAGATAGATAGGCATCTCTACGAGGCTACCAGACTTCCAATTCAATGGCATTTGAAAAAAAAAAATAGCACTTGTTTGTGTCAGAGGCAAAATAGTCTTAGCTCTGAATTTATTTCCTTTTGGTAAATTGATTCACACTTTTTTTTTCTTTCTCCCTATTTCTTTATCTCACTACACTGTAGTTTTTGAACCAGAGCAAAGAGTCAAGGAATATCATGTTTAGGGGAGGAATATCGTTCACACACCTCAAACCTGCTAATCCTTTCCCAGTTAAACTGACAAAGCACTTTTCCTTTTGGAATACATGTGCTGGAATCAAATGAATTGCCAGAAAAGGTGTCTGTGCTTTGTTCTGTTTTAATTCCATTCCTTGTGGCCTGACTTTTGTTTATCTTCCTGTCAACCCTCTGCACTTACCTTGGCATTTCTCCTAATCAGCAAGCGAGACTACATAGGAACGTTGCCTGCAAGTCAGTTAAGGTAAACCTGGCTACCTGCCTCCTGGTTAGGACTTTTCCAGTAACCATCAGCTCGCATCATCCAGTGACAATCAGACATAAATAAC